AGAAAATCCACGCAGACCTGGGGAGAACATGCAAACTCCATACAGGGAGGCCGGAGCTGGAACTGAACGCAGTACCTCTGGGTACCACTGGACCATCGTAATGTAAATGTTGTCAATGATAACACTTGCTTGCAAGGCACCATTCAAGATGGGATCAGCAGTGCTAGGCGAATATATGGAGCGAAGCATGTGCTGTCTGTAGGATATTAATTTCCCCCCCTCCCCTCACTTCCGCCATGAGTTTCATGTGCCCCCACCCTTCGGGCTAGGCTCTGCTCAATGGGGGAATTGACCAAAATATGTAGTCTTGTTGGCTGCAAATTAATCGTTTGGATGTGAGTTTGTGTGCGGGTGTATGTTCTGGTAGCACTAATGGATCACAAACTGACTGATTAAATAGGAAGCATCCAGTTCGTGAACAGAATACAAGTCTTTTGTGTCGCCACCCTCATTTTTATCTTTCAGATAATAAATCAAGAAACCACAAAGCAGATTGGTATTTTGTCAGTCAATTCATCTTGTCTGATCTGATCACCTTCGAAACTGCGCAAAGCACCAAACCACAAGGCCAAGTCTGTTTCAAAAGGAGACCTTTTCATTGCAAGATATTAAGAGAAGTATAACGAAACATGGTTTATGGTAGGTAAAAGCAATTGTTAGAGTTGTATGCTGTAAAAGATGTTTACAATGATTAAATAGACTGAGACAATGGATGTTTGGTGCTGTGCAACTCTTTAAAGACTGTGCAAAATGAACATAAGTCTGCCAAACTACTTTAAATCAGAGACAGCTATAAGATTGATATACAAACTACAATACAAAGTAAACTGACAGCATTCCTTATTTGAGGAGAGCAAAATCCAGCAAAGCATCTCACCACATTATTTACCAGCAAAAATTCACAGTAGCCGCAGAGGTACCAAAGCACTGTACATTAAACAGAAAATAATAATAACAATGCATTCCAAAATCACCAAAGTAAATCTTCTCCATTCAAAATACACCAAAGCTCCCTTCACGTTGGCATTTCACACACTGGAGGTGTTTTATTCCCTGTTCTGGCACTTTTTGTTTAAAGCAGGGGTGCCCCATTACGTCGATCGCGATTGGCCAGTAGATCAAGAACTGGTCCCAAGTCGATCCGAGGGGTGTGGAGGGGGAGAAAAAACATTTGTGTCTCTGTGCATGTTAGTAATATATTTTTTGTGTGAATGCACACCGCACCCTAATAATTCAATCAGTCTCTCTTTCACAAAAAGTACTTAAAAAAGAAAAGAAAGCAGGTCATCTTTAACCTATGGTGACGTGTGACTGCGTCACCGGAAGTTGTTAGCGCTTAGCAGTCTGCAGTTGCAGCTTGTGACAAGAGTTGTTGCGCTATATCTCTTATCGTTATCATTATTCTCATTCAGTTTTCTATAATTCACCAAGGGAACGGGCAAAGAATGGGAATCTGGAGGGCTGAGAGAAGCATTTTAAAACGGTATGCGTGAGCTACCTTCGTGAACAGCTGCCTAAGTGCGTCGCATGCCTCAGCGTCAGGCTATTGCGCATCACGGCGTGCGTATGCGCGCGTGCGCGGTAACTGGTTGATCGCGGCAGGTTGGTTGATCGAAAAGTAGATCTTCACTCAAAAAAGTTTGGGCACCCCTGGTTTAAAGCATAGCTGTTTTAGTTGAGAGGGTAGCAAAAAGGGTTTTATAATGCTGACTCTTGTACAGATCATCTGTGAGTGTGATCTGTGTGTATCTACTTGTAAAATAGTGTGTTGTGAATGAAATCTTAAAGAATGAGCTTTTGGTGGCAAAAGAAGATATTTACAAATATCACCACTGAAACTGTTGTCCATTTGAAATAACTTTCACGCTATTTTGTAGTAGAAGTAGAAGTAGTAGTAGTAGTAGTAGTAGTAACAGTAGTAGTAGTAGTAGTGGAGGTAATAGTAGTATTTTGTACTGTGTGTGCGTGCTTCATACCATACATGTGTCTGTGTATGTACAGTACATGTCCATTACATCATTGCTTCTCCTACTAAATGTAATGGCCGATATCGTTTCTCTTTCGTGACACTATTAGTAGTACATTTAACATGACATACTTTGATCAATCACAAGCTGCCAGTAACGGTCGAATTTCCAGAGCTCCGCCATGCTCACAAGCGTCCACATTGTTTTGATACACTGCGATCTCATCCAAGAGTCACAATGCTGCCATCTGCTGGCCGTTTTGCTCTTTCTCAGCTTAAAGACCAACCCAGAGTTGGCCAAGACTTAACTCCGCCCCTTCTTAGAAATGTCCAATAAAATTGCATTGGTGACCTGTGGCAAGTGGAGTAATGTGGAGATCGCACTCAATTAAACCAATGGGGCTTTGTAACAAGCGATTTGGACCTTTACACATGCATTTTTTTTCCCCTCGATCGGGCCATTACAAACGTAGCATCCGAGCGTTTTACTCTTGGCATGACGGATCGATTTACGCTGAATGCAACATTTGCATGCATGTAAAAGATTGGTGATTCTTGGTTTGAGTGGTCATGCCTGGAGGGATGGACGGATTTATTGGCGCAACAACACTGCTCAATGTACATTGCCACAAGTACAAATGATCATTGAAATATTGTGAGGAAATTGTGTATCCCACCTAACATAAGTTAGCTCCAGCCTTGTTACTCTACTACAGTGACAAGATTGTCTAAATTAAAACCTGTTAACGTCTCCATTACGTGACATCATCTTTGCTGGACATTTCCATGAAATTAAGAGAAAGAAAAGTGTTGCCTCATTTCATCACAATAATTTATTCACCTCCCGCATCGCTCCTTACTCGATGTAAGACTACAAATAAAAGTGCACCAACACATTGGATCATATTTACTTCCATAAACACTGCCGTGCGTCAACGTCTTTTGCGTGTGTCACTCGACTGAGTGCTTTGTGCGCATGCGTGTCACAACACGGACACGTTCACATTAGAGCAGTGGTTCTTAACCTGGGTTCGATCGAACCCCAGAGGGTGAATCGGTGTCAGGGGTTCGACGGAGCCTCCGCCATGGAGGTGTGACTGTCGTGATAGTATGTCGTTAGATTTAAAAAACTGATACTTGTGTCTTGAAATTGTATTTACTTTTGTTCTGTTTTTAATAAATGTGTGTTTTTATATGTCTTGAGTTTGTAAAAAGTCATATTTTTGTTTTTCACTAATGAAGGTTTCAGTGAATGTGCATATGAATGAACTGGTTGGGTTTGGTACCTCTAACAAGGTTAAGAACCACTGCATTAGAGGATGCATTTGTTTTTGGAATGTCAACTAGAACATAAAAAGAGTAGGTTTATTAAAAAATATCTGAATCTGGCATCACGCCCTGCCGTGTGAACATAGCCGAACATCTAGCTGTCGGGATGAATATCACATATAAATGTAACATTCTACAACTCACTCTTATTTTACGCGGACTGCATTCAATTCCGCGGAAAGCTTTGGAATCCGAGGCAAATGGCCCAAACAATTGGCTTGCTGTCTGGACTTAAAAAAAAAAAAAAAAAGTTAAAAATGGAATGCCAGGATGGGACCTGTGTTAAAGTGGGACAAAACAATGTGGCTGGTGAAATCTACTGACACTCGAGATATCAGGCTCAAAACCGGGACTGTCCTGATTAAATGTCTAGCCACACTATGCTTTACACCTGTATTAGACGAAATTATTATTTAAATAATATTTAACTTTAATTAAAATGCTTTCTTTTCAAACCATTTTGTTTTCTGGACATTTTTATATTTATTGGGTTATTTTACATTCATGTTATTGTAGTTGCAAAACAAATCTGAGCAGTGTGAACTAACATTCTTGTTTTGGTGTTTTTCTAAACAAAAACAAAACAACAACAAAACAAAACAAAAAAAACGGAGAGAAGACTACACTTAAAGCACCGGATCGACAAACAATCTCCACAATACCACCCCTAATCGGGATATAAACGTTTTTCCATGTCAAATAGCACCAGCTTCAGGCATTCAAATGATTATCTGTCTAAATCTGAAAAATGGGTACAATTAAGTGTACAATGAAATTGAAAGCAGCTCTTTCTTCATTGCAAAATGTATTTAAATTATGAAAAAATCAGTAAAAAATTAGATAAATATATAAACTACAAGATATAAACAACGTAAAACATTGTAATGCAGGAAGATAATGATGGCAGAGGTTTATTTTATTGTATTGTCATAAACGACACTAATTGATTGATTCATTTATTTTGTGACGTTTTGTTTTGCTCATGCAGACCATGTTTGCTGTCATTATCCTGTCAGGTTTAGCTTTCATCCAAGTTGTGTCCAGGGTTTTGTTTTTCTTTCCTTCTCAGTGCAAGCTCCTTTATTATGCTTAGATATCAAAATGGGTATATAATTGAAAGAAAACACATTATTAATTTAGTATTTAAGTAGATTTCAGAGTTTGCACTTGACTACTTTAAAAATACATTGTTAAATCCGTCTTACTTTTACCAGAATATTTTTTTCAATCTGTAGTTGTACATAGATACAACTTTTGCAACCTCAACTGATTGGAAAAACAGCACAAATGCAGTCGAGGAGTCAAGTACCAAGTGTCCCGTTATGAGCCCTGGTGAAGCCGCCTACGTTAGCTCTGTAATGGCCCGGCTGCCATGGCCCGCTCGGGGAACAGTTTGTCAGTGTGGTCGCCGTTCAGCAGGCTCCAACTCGTTGCTGTAAATCGCACACAGGATGGCAAGCGTGGAGGGTGGCTTGAGCAACGCGCCTGTCGCTCGTCACTCTTAAAAAAAGGACCAATGAGCCATATGCGAAACTAGACTATGTTGACGCTTAAGACGCACATTCATTCGGTCGAGGTGGATCAAAAGTTCTGCAGCTTGTCGGCGGAGAGATACATTCACCACGTCGCCCCCTCCTCTTCACTCCCTGCTATCCCACCGCGCATCACCCACCATTAGTTTACGTTTAAGTTTTCAAAAACTTACCAACTGTTCTCGAGCCGAGTAGAATGTACCAGATCCACATCATATGCACTCCTTTCCCCAGAGACCTGAGCTTTCTGGCCGAAAACTGGGGGTGAAAAACTTCCTCGGCGACGCTCTCTGCCGCCTGTTGGACTTTAGAACTGGAACTACTTTACCACCGTCCGAGTTAAAGAGAACATTTTTGGCGTTTCGTGGAGAAGTTCTCGTTGAGTTGAAGTAATGGCGTTTGGGTTGGGGAGATGGGGGCAGGCTGAACGTGGACGGGTCTTCGGGGTAGAGCCTGGCAGGCTGAGGTCGCTCCCGTGTTGTTGTTCAAAGGCGGAGGCGGAGACAGCAAGCCGGCTGCAGGGGTCGGCCTTCTGGGACGTCGGTTACCGAACTGTGCTTCGGCTCGGGACCACCAGCGGCCCTTCCGAGAACGTGCTTCTCTGTCACTACGCAAGCTGGCATTGAATTGGGAATAAAATAGAGTGTATTTAATAGACAGTTAACGCATCTGATGAAGCAGCATCACCACCTCCACCCCTATCTTTTTTCCATTAAGTGGCGACAAGATTGACAAGATTTTATGCCTCTACGCATGATACATGATTTGCAAACATTAATAATGGCCAGTCTCATTCAGACAACACAACATATTCACACAAAAATATCACGTAACTGTTATGTGACAAAGTTTCAGAAAAAATATATGCTATCAGATTTCAGGTACATTACTTCCTATTGGTCAATGTTGACCAACCAATCGAAGGGTGATGTAAGAAATGTCACACTAAGCAGCAATACAGTACTCACAAAAATTCAGACGTGCTAGACTTTTGTCGTGGTCATGAAGCGTCCCAGACACCTCACGACCAGTCGCTGAGTATGTCACATCACATGGGCGATAACGCATCGAGACAACTGAAAATTGACGACGAGACACTACGTTTGTCAGTGACACATTTGTCGGTTCAAAATTGGGAGACAGTAATGTAGTCTCATGTCGGGACTAGTGAGTGTGGTTAAAATAAAGATGGCGGACTGACGACTACAGTTTGGTTCGGCTTGAAACGATAACAGACTTACAATGACGGACTGGTGGCCTGGCTGCTGGCGAATGACGAATAATGTAGCTGCAAAATGTATCGACACGCCCAATTCTGATGACCAAAGGTAAAAGCACGCAATGGAAACACAAGGGCCCTCACCTATTAAAGCTCCCCCTGTTATCACTGAACCACAGCTGTGTGCAGGGAGGCAGCATGTCTTCAAACAAACGGCTCCATTTGATTGTGTGCTCACCTGGAGGCATGGGCCCAATATTAGACTTCTCCAGCTCACTTTCTTCCTTTAACGCTGCTTTATCAAGCCAGACTCAGGCAGTCCCAAACTCCCCGGGATGGCCATGTCATGCATGCCGTGAAGATTTTATTCATCTATATGTCACACCAAAAAAAAAAAAAAAGAACAGCTGCCTGATTTCTTCTGCAAGTTAACCTGCAAGGCAGATAGACTCACGAGGATACAGCAGGTGAGTTTTTTAAACGGCGTAGCAGTCCATCTGATGTGCAGGGTTATCTGCGGGGGTATGTCTACCAAAGGGCCTCATATATTTCATTACATTTTGACGGGTGCTGATAGTGTGTTCTGTAACCGCTCTTAAAAACTCTGTGCTTGGCAGATTGTCACGTTTCGGTTTGTGACCAACAGGTGGCACTGTGGGGCTTTTCCCCCTATAGCTGCGCACCTGTTGGTAATTTGGTAATTCTAGTGAGTGTGGTTAAAATAAAGATGGCGGACTGACGACTACAGTTTGGTTCGGCTTGAAACGATAACAGACTTACAATGACGGACTGGTGGCCTGGCTGCTGGCGAATGACGAATAATGTAGCTGCAAAATGTATCGACACGCCCAATTCTGATGACCAAAGGTAAAAGCACGCAATGGAAACACAAGGGCCCTCACCTATTAAAGCTCCCCCTGTTATCACTGAACCACAGCTGTGTGCAGGGAGGCAGCATGTCTTCAAACAAACGGCTCCATTTGATTGTGTGCTCACCTGGAGGCATGGGCCCAATATTAGACTTCTCCAGCTCACTTTCTTCCTTTAACGCTGCTTTATCAAGCCAGACTCAGGCAGTCCCAAACTCCCCGGGATGGCCATGTCATGCATGCCGTGAAGATTTTATTCATCTATATGTCACACCAAAAAAAAAAAAAAAGAACAGCTGCCTGATTTCTTCTGCAAGTTAACCTGCAAGGCAGATAGACTCACGAGGATACAGCAGGTGAGTTTTTTAAACGGCGTAGCAGTCCATCTTCTTGTTCATGTTCTTCGGGGGGGTATGTCTACCAAAGGGCCTCATATATTTCATTACATCTAGGCGGGTCCTGATAGTGCTTTGGGACGTCTGGGATCCGTCCCTTGAGGGAGGGGTACTGTCACGTTTCGGTTTGTGACCAACAGGTGGCACTGTGGGGCTTTTCCCCCTATAGCTGCGCACCTGTTGGTAATTTGGTAATTAGAGCTATAAAAGGACTCCCAGCCCGACCACTCACTGTCGGGTCATTGTTTGCTCACGCTACTGTCATGTTCGTTTGTTTGCTGTACTCAGGTTTGTTTTAGTCATGTTTTGGTTGCTGTTATGTTTTATCTTAAGTCATGGTTTTTGTTTGTTACTTTGGACTTTGTTTGTTTTGGATTTCATTTTCTCTGAGTTTTAATACAATCGTTCAAGTACACCCTGCTCCTCCCTCCTGCCTGCTTTTTGGGGTCCACCACCACCTCGCAGACGTGACACAGATATGAATATTTTAATGATTGCCAGAGGTAATGATGGCGGAGTGTGTTCAGCACAAATCTCAAATAAAATCACCTGACAAGTGAAAAAGTAAGGGAAAGCTCTTAGATAAAAGGGAATAAGGAACTTCTTGCAGAACTGAGGTGTAACGATAATGGTGACACTTCCAAAGTCAAAATTCCCTTGAGTTGAAAAATTTGAACTTCAACTAAAATGTTTGGGAAAAAAATCCGACAAATGTCAAATAAAACTGTGTTGAATTCATCATCATGTCATCACAATGTCAGTTAACTCCAAGAAGAGAACAATATCTAGAAGCATTACAAACACTAAACAACTTAGTTACATAAGAATACATATATATTTTCCCCCATGAAAAAATGTATTACTGTACCTTTATTTAAGAATGAAGATGTCACTGGGTACATATTAAAAATCGCACTACATTGATATTGCAATGTGCAACATCCATGTCGCATACTGCACGTTTTTTCCAATTTCGTGCAGCCCTACTTTAGAATGATTAAAGTCATAATGTATGGTATCTTTGAGTGTCACTTCAGTATCTCAAAGCCGGGGCAAGTGTCCTTATTTTTGGAAATCAAAATATGGTCACCCTAAATTATGTCTGTCGGCTGTATTTCTATGGCTTGACGGTGGCGCGACAATCGATCTGGATCTTTGATATCCTCGCCGATCATGTCATGAGTGGAAAAACTCTGTGTGGATTTGGCACATTTGCACATTTGTGTCACTGTTATGGAAGAAGTGCTTCTTTTCACTAGGATTGCGGTCGAACGCCTTCACAGTCAACTTATCTTATTAAAAATGATGACCTATTGTTCACATTTCTGCCTTTTTTTTGCAGCTGATGTGACTCACATTTCATGTGCTATTTAAAATCATGCTGCAACTAATAGGCGATTAGTCCATGTTTAATCTGCCTTTAAATAGATAAGATAGACTCTTGCTGCTCAACGGGATAAGTAGAATATTAAATGGATGAATGAAATACATTTTTGAGCTTTTGGAACGACAGTCCCACGACATTATGTCATAAGGACCCCATACAACCAAGCTGAAGACTAAAGACACAAATTTGGACTGGCACACTGTTAAGTGATGCCCATCCATTAAGTTTGATTTTCGATAAAAAGCAATGTCCTGATCAGATGGTTGCCGACAAATTGACTCATTACAGGAATGTTAAACTGTAATATGAAAACCCCAATTAGAGGCCACATGAAACAAATAAATAAATACTTGTTACGCGTGACAACCGAGCAAGACTTTGCCCGTGGGTGAGTACTGACATTGAGAAGGAGACAATTTGAGCTGGAGAATTGTAAGACTCTACTGTTTGTCTTATGACCCAAGTTGCAAAGAGAACCTGCGTGGTGGGTGTGTCAAAAATAACACTCGCAAAGCAGCATGTGAGGAAGCCAGAGGCCAGGCAAATGGACGCAGAGGGAAGATGCCAAAATGGAAAAAAAAGGAAAAAAAGCAGGGATACGAAGAAAAGTACAGCACAGAAGTCCGAGGCCACCACAAAGTAAGGAAGATGCCGATTATGTTGAATGCAAAATTGAAATACATGAAACTTTGTCGAGGGGAATGGATACGAGAAATTATTTTTACTCTTAATCTACTCTTTGAGCAGTGATGGCATGAACCGAATTGTTCAGGATCAACCATTACTATTTTGAAAAACAAAACATGCCCTGCAATTGGCTGGCAACCGGTTCAGGGTGTCCCCCGCCTACTGCCCGAAGACAGCTGGGATAGCTTCCAGCACCCCCCGCGACCCTTGTGAAGATAAAGCGGTTCAGAAAATGGATGGATGGATGGAAAACATTCCATTGATTTAATGCCTTTTTTTGGTGTTCATTTTAGCGATACTAAAATGCCATTAAAATAATTGTAATTATTTGTTATTCATTTAACATGTCAAATAATAGCATGTATTGCTGCAAAGAAACATTCTGTAACCTTGGCAATAACTGTAGCCACTGCAGCTCCATCAATTTATCTAATGAGAGGATGAAATGAGCCAGGGGATGGCAGTAATGCAAGTCATGAGAGCTTCAAGGTGTCACGTCCTTGTCACGTCAGACTGCACTGCACTGGGCTAACTATGAAATGCCAAGGCCCCAAGAGGCCTGGAAATGGAAGTTTCACTCACTAGAGCGCGACTCCTAACATTCATCTTACATTTATTAACCCACCTTCTGATATAGAGGACATCTTTGTTCAGGTGCCAGGGAGCGTGCAAGGCACAGAGCAATAGAGAGAAAAACAGGAAGGAGACACCGTCGTCTTCCTTCCAATCCATCAAATAGTGACACAGGGTTAGAGGTTCCTCATGGAAATCTAAAGGCAAAAGGACTCTGTGAGTTTATACAGACACGGGTTGACGACTTGTTTCGCTGGAACTGCACACTTTGCATCCTACCATTGACCTGACATCCATACTTGACTACTTGGTAGTGGCAAATATGGCGGAATGCACTTGTTTTCAAGTTTATCTCCTTCCACTAAATAAAATGATGACTTTGATGAGAAATATACAGAGCGGGGCGCACACACACACACACACACACACACACACGCACACACGCACACACACACACACACACACACACACACACA